CCCCCCCCCCCCCCCCATTTAATAGAGGGGAGAAATCTCCTTGCCTAATAATAGAGGCAGTTGGTAGGGACAGGCAGCTGCAGCTCTGGCCCCAACCTGGAGCCAAAGCCACAGCTGCCACCTGACCCCTGCCCCCACGGCCCCTGCACACCCTGCCACTTCTCCGTGGTAGCCCCCAGCCCAGTTTCTGCCCCACTCCATGCTGCTTCTCCCTCTCCCTCCCCTTCTTACCTTTGTTCCACCCTTGGTAGGCTCCATCCATGCTCCAGCCCAGTACATGGAGCATGGTGCTGCTGCTACAGGGCTGGGCTGGAACAGCAGTGCCAGCTCTGTGCCACTGCTGTGGGGCCAGGCTGGAACCATGCTCCATGTCCTGGGCTGCTGCAAGAACTGAACCTACTGGTGCAGAGCAAAGGTAAGGGGTGTGGGGCATTGAGGAGCAAGTGAAGGGACAGAATTTGGGGGGGGGGAGATGGAAGGAAGACAGGCAAAGACTGTGGGTGGCAGAAGCAGCATGGAGAAAGGAGAAGGGGGAACAGGGGAAGGGAGAATTGTGACAACCTGAGGCTATTGGGGGTGGGGGAGGCAGGCACAACATGAAGTAAGTGGGGAGGGGGGGAGGGGACAGGCAGCAGGTAGCAGGCTGCCTGCCTCTCTCACTGTCTGCACCACTGCATCCACACTGTTGCTCCCTGCCACGGCCTGCCCCATTACTACTCCCATCTTCCCTAGCACATGCTTCCCTACTGCCTCCCCCACTGTCTGTCTCCCACTACCTGCCCCATTACTGCCCCATCATCACCTCTCCCCCCACTTACAGTAGTGGCTGAGGAGGAGGGTGAATTTAAGATGACCCTCCAATAAGAAAATTCCATAGATGGAAAATTATAATAAATTTATAAATTTTCTGGGTGTGGAATTATTGGGGCATCATCTTACGTGCAGGGTCATTTTGCATTCAAATAAATAGAATACATAGTTATATCTTATTTGGTTAGTCTATAAAGGTGCACATCTACCCTACCTTCATACACAGTAAATGTCAGGGAAAGGTACATTCAGAAAATGCTGGATAAAATGCAGAAATAGACAGGGACTTCCAAAGCCCACTGTTCCCATTACCCACACCCATATAAACACTGTGTGCTGCACCATCTTAAGAACACAGCATACCAGAACTACCCAGTAACTTCACTAGTGCGAGAGCAAAATAGGTTCTTCATCGTTCTCTACCCTGGCATAAAGAGCAGCTGTGCTCCTACCTGTGCCTTATCTGGACAAACGGATGGAAGTGCTTCAGTTACCTGTAAAATAGCTTGCTTGATTTTATGTGCATTTGCAGTGGATTTTTCTGAGCATTTTACACTGAAGTTTTCACTAAACATATTCTTGATTAAAAAGAACATACCTCCATAACACAAAACGTGAAAATCCTTCAGGAGGGACCTTATAGATTTTATGTTACATTACATTCAATTACAAATAGCATTGCATATCAATGGTCCCCAAGGGCCCAGGCAGATAGTATGCTTAAGACACAATGAACCAGTTAATCATTTCTTAAAGTGTAAACTGGCTATATGTTCAGAAGATTAAAAGTGCAATAAAAGAGAGAACCAGCCACAAAGTTATTACACAAAATATGTAATAACTCTATGACTGGTTTCCATCCTGCCTTAAATTAAACATGTGGCAAGATGGACTGCACAGTTTTTTTGTCTGTCAGAGGCCACACCAGGGCTTGAATCCTGGTGCTGTGCTTGCCAGCTGATGGCAAATTGGAACCATATTGGCCTGGAACCCCAGTGCAGACCTGATCCTGCTATCAGCCGGTTGGGACCTCTCCAGAAGCTGATCCCCAGACCAGTCCTGATCAGCTGATTGTCACAAGTTTGGCTGATTGGGCCCACTCTGGGGCTTGTACCCTCGGGTGGCCCCAATTAACTGATTGTTGGCTGGCTCTGGGAACTACACAAGGGCTCAAATCAGCTCTGTGAGTTCCCAGAGCGAGCCGTCAATCAGCTGATTATTGGACACATTGCCAGTGCAGGGAAAGTCCAGGTTCATGATCCCCCTGAATTGACAAGTACGTCACGATTTAGATCTGACTCCTGAACACACAATCATGCTTTCTGCTATGCAGGTGTACCATGGCAAGAGGCACAGATGTTGTAACTGTGGATCAGATCCTACTGTGCCTTCAAATGAATGCCTGTCAGCAGCCCAATTTATCACATGCCAGGATAAGATTGAAACAAGTCTGGAGGCAGATTGGGTGTGGGGAGTACTTGTTACAAAGTAAATAACAGACTATACATACTATGTTCTACGCTCAAAGGAAAAATACAAAGGCTAGACTGACTTATAACTTTTGAGGTGACATACCTGGTTCCAAGCAAATAGCCTCATAATCCCAGCAGCAATTTTGACGTTCTTTACAGCCACTATCACACTGGCAACCCACCAGATCTTTGTTAAATGTTTCATCACATCTGCTTCTGCAGCTGACTGAAAAGGAAACATAAGGCATCTTTCAGCTCTACAGGTAGCAGGTATATCCATTCTTTAGAATACAACTTGCACAGGAAATGGAACACAGCCAAGGGGTCCGGAGGACAATGTTCTGAATCATTTTCAAAAACTGTTTACTGAATGAGTTATCAATACATTTTAGCAAAATGTGAACCCATTTGCATCAAATTAGATGACAACCACACCATGCTTTATTATATAGCTGAATAATCATACTTGATTAGAAACAAAAATAGGGCACAAATCAAAATAAAGATGAATGTTATGATGAGTGGTGTTATGAGGAAAAAATGCACTATTTAGACTCATGCTTGAGCTCTTGTAAGTTTAATCTTGACAGAAAAGGATATTTTAATTATAAATGTATTTAAGCAGGCATATGTGCACACAAGTTTGTGTTCATAACACGTAAGTTTTATGTGCACAGACCTCACTATTTTAAATGACACAGGGTCAGGAAAGAGATCCAAACATTGTGGACAATGCCAATGACATTATTTGTGGGGGAATAGCTTAGTTATGAGGAGCTAAATGTTAAGAAAACTGAAAAAAGGGAATTGTCGGAAAGGGAAGCAAGGGGGTCAGTACAGCAGAAAAGAGGGTAAGAGGGACAGGTATGGAGTAAGACTGCGGTGAAGAGATTCCGAGGTAGAAGAAGAGGCAAACAGCACACAGCAGAGAATGTGCAATCACAACTACACCAAATTCTAGGCTGACCATTATAGGTGGCACCAATATCTCCCTAAAACCAAAAGCTGTCATTGATCTATACTATAAACCCCCAACCTTGACTCTCACCAGCACCACAGCCAGACTCGGGAAGCCCTGCTCTGTCTCATAGCCCATTTGCTTCACCCACTGAGCACTGAACACACCTATGCACCTCAGGGCTCGCATGCAAGGAACCCACTACTGGCATCTCCATAGCACACAAGGGGTTCACACAAATCTGTTCCCCATTACCTAAAGTTGGGTAATAGAAAAAGTCATGCAACGGAATGAATGATTGGCCACAAATGCCTATAAAACTCTTCAGAGATCAGATGGTTATGGATAAGCAAGTGTCAGGTAGAACCAAATTCTCCAACATTCAGTGGTTCACTGTGGCCATACTGTGGCAATGTCACACAGCCCCACAGCACGCCACTGTGCTGCTCTGGGCAGTGGTTAGCATGGAGAAGGGTGGTGGCCAAACCCTGCCCACTCCCACCTGGACATTTACTTTGGAACACTTACCAGCGGACCACGCTGTGCCAGAAGTGGGGGTGGGACCGAAGCGGAGTGCTTAAAGCGACCATTGCATGGAAGCAATCATGAAATAAGTCCTTGAATACTTAAATTTATCTAGCAGCTTCAAAACCATTATCACAAGATTGAATATCCCAACAACTCTGTACAGCAACCCACACAATAGTGTGTCACTTCATCTTTTATAAGCAAATAGCTGCAATTAAATTAGTAAGAGTAAAGGGCACGATTCACAATCGTCCTGCATCTTGCGTTTTCAAATACACTAGCACAAAGTGGATGTCAAATGCTGATATTTCTGATCTGGTAACATTTTACACAGCTGTAATTGAATCCACAAGTGAAAACAGTGAAGAATCAGACTCCAAATATCAGTAAGCATTATGTGGCAATACATTGCAATATTTGGCAAAGGTCATCCAAAGTAACTACTGTTTATTGTCAACCATTACAAAGATTACAATGATCAAGAAGGAAGAAGGAAGAAGAATAGAAGTAGGAAAGAAACAAGAAAGATTGTAAATGGGGAAAAAAACCAAAACAAATTTAACATTTTACTACAGGTGCATTAATTGTTTGAAAAACCCATGTGATTATTGTCTTGAAGGTGTGCAAACAAGATCTGCTCTAAATGCAAGTATCAGTTGCCGACATTGCACTAATGATGGTGAGAACATTTTTCACTGAAATGTGCTTTCTTTGCAGCTTGAAACTTGTGCTTTTTGTTTAAATGATTTTTTTACGTGTGAAAGGCTTTCTTGGCTTAAGTCTCTCTGAATACTTGTAACTTGAAGAGAAAGAATACATTGAGAAGTTCACTTCTTTTAATAAACAAGTTATTAAAAAAATCCTGCTAAAAAATTCTAAGAGTTTTGGTTTTGCTCAAATGTGAAACAACCAAAATTTGAAACATCATCAATTACCAGAAAACAGAGTTGTACTAAAACATCTTCATTAGCCTTACTCCAGTAAACACTTAACTACAGCTGATCAAAAATGAGAATTTCCACCACATGGAAAATGTTGATGTTTCAATAGTTATTTTAAAACTGAATAAGGATGAAAAGTCAACTCTTTAAAGAACAGGATGTTCAGGAAAACAGCTGGAAGCTGTTACATAAAACTTTATACTCCGTTCTCCACTATAAACTGAATTCCCAAACAAGATTATATAAATCAGTCATGATGGGAGTCATGCTGCATGGTGGAATATTTAGTCCAGCTATGTAGTTCAGAAAATAGAAAGTAGTAGGAGCAGGTGCTACAGAAATTCAAATGAACACAGATCAACATTAATCTTACCCAAAAGGAAAGGTTTAAGTTTGGTTCACCAAACGGAATTTTTTGGTGAGAGCAAAAAGGGGTTGACCTTACCTGAAATCAAATATATTTTTTAAATTTGTCTAGCAATGTCAAACATTTTAAATGATTTTTTACAATTTTGCCAAAACTGTATTTTTGACAGAAAATCTTCAAACAGGTCTGGTATGAACCAATTGAATGAAATTCCATCTATTAAATAACTGCGTTTTAAGAGGCTCCTATACAAAGTATATCTGTGTAGTAATGCTCTTAAATAACTTCTAGCACAACTCACCTAGAAGCATTATTAAAGTAAGATTCCCAACCCCTTTGTGAAACAAGTATTATACTTTACAGAAGGAAAATAATTCGCACACAACAATTAAGGAATAATTTTTCAAAAGCGCCCACCAACTTTAGGTGTCTTATCTTTATTTTGCACATTTTAAAAGCCTAGAATATTATTTCCACAACTAATAAGCACTTAAAATTATTTTTTAAATTATGAAACGTCCTCTGCTTTAGTGTACTGCTGGATCAAAGCCAAAATGGCTGCTAGTAGACATACCTTGCACCTGAGCTTCACGTTTAAGTCCTAGTCCCAAACCTAGTCCAAGTGATATAACCACCAAAGAAACCAAGAGAACCTGTCACAAAAAAAAATCCACATGCTGTGAAACATGTCATTATCTTTATAATATATATAACTATACATCAATTGTATGTATAATGGGAAGTAACTTATTTGGACAGAAGGGACATCTTGAGCTGAGTGATATGAAAGGAAGAACAGATTTGAAAGAAAGACAAAAATAAAATCTGATGAGCTGCCTATATTTTAACGAGAAGTTGTCACCCAAATATTTTCCTTTTAGCCATGACCAATTTTATGTGGCAAGCAGGAATATGTTCACTTGCAAAAAAAGAAGGAAGGAAAATGTTTCCTTATACCAATGAAAGGGACAATTGTCAGTAAACCAGGTTATGTATACCAGGGTTGAAATGGTTATACTTAATCCTGAAAAGTATAACCCATGCTGGCCACCCTGTACAATTTGTAAAGGGTGTATTTTACACACACCCAAATATTTTAATCTAGGTTTCAAGAAAAAGACATACAGGGCCTTGTTGTACATTACATTTTCAACACATTTTATTTAAACTAGGAATTTCAAAAGATTCAACCCATGGCACCCTAAGACCTGGCCTGTAGGTCTTGGACCACCCCCACATGCAGCAAACATTATGCTGTAGGCCCAATTCTGTACGCTGCATGTGCTATGAGAAGCCAGAGCCTGGCGTGTACTACATGCAGCACTGGTGCCAGACTGGTCCTGTGAGCTGTCTCCAGGGCTGGATTGGGCCCACAGACCATCACTGCATGCCAGAGCTAGCATGCAGGACCAGTCCAGTGCAGGCACCACATACAGCTCAGGTACCGCATACAACACCGCCCCCCCCCC